TAAGGAGATAACTATTGGTCTCTTCCCTTCCTTGGAGGAGAAGATTGAGTCATCTCCTTTTCCTAGCCAGGACACAATGTCTGATTTTTTTCTGAATTTTTTATGAGACATAGCTGGTTACATCTGACTATAGCATATTTGCTCTAATAATTAGAGTGTAGAATGGGGGACACTTACCCAGAGAGGCTACAATCCTAGAGTTCTCCAGCATGACTTCCCCGTGGAGGGCTTTTTGGTCAGGATCCAGATGAGACCATTCCTCCTTGGAGAAATACACAGCTACCTCCTCGAAGGACACAAGACCCTGCTGGGGAAGGAGGGGGAAACAGTTTCTCTATTATCAGAGAAGCCCTGGAAGGACTTGTACGTTTTCTCTAGTTGTTCACAGATCCCCCAAACAGACATTTCTAATGGGTTAAATGAGCAGCTACTGCAGAATTCAATTTTTTATCTGACAAAATGGACAGGATACATTGCTGTTAGATAACATTTGGGGCAGTTTTTTTACAAATTTACTGATTTTACAGGACTTTCAGTGCCATTCAGTGAAAACAGCCCCAGCTTCCTTCTGGATCAACTGGCATGTGAGCCTTGGAAACATCCCTTATCAGTACAGTGACCATACGTCCTTTATTATAAAGGACAATCCTTTATTTCAGAAAGCTGTCCTTAAGATTTATTTGTTTTACTGTACAAATGGTACCACTTAACTTTTACCATACAAATGGTACCACTTAATGCACTGTCATTCATGTTCATGTGAAAAATATGGAAATTGAATGGTCCTTTTAAAGGGGCAAATTTACATTTACTGTTTGATTTTATATATTTTTATTAGAATATACATTTTTGTAAACTTTTTCTTGATTTTGCTCTAGAATTTTCCTTTGTAAAGCAAAGTTATAAGCATAAACAATTTTTTTTATCCTTATGAACCTCTTCCAGATTTGCCGCTTTTTCAGTTTTGTCCTTTATTTTTTCCAAGAAGATACAGTCACCATACTTATCAGGGAGTCCAATCCTTCCTGGTGTTTGCAGAAGGAAGTGGTGGGGGGCTCCTGACATTTCAGGCAATGGCCTGTGGTTTCCTCTGAGGGACCAGTGTTGCCTATACTCCTTCATGGAAGTGCTGGGAGAGCTCATCCAAGGATTTGTGTGGGTGCCATCAACATGCAGATGACATGCAAACCAAATTCTGCTTCTCAGATTCCAGGGAAGCTACTCATGTTCTGAGTCATTGGCTGGATGGGAGATGAGAAAGTCAAGCTAGGGACAAAATTGTGCTGATTCTGCAAAGCTGAATTGGTTGGGATACAAACCTAGGCCCAAATCACATTGTGAGAAATTATTCTGGAAGCCGTAAATGACTTTATTACAAATGCTTCAAGAACTATTTTTACTTAGAGACTCCTCTATCTGGCCACCATCATTTGTTCTTTATAGCCTAGTAAAAAATACTATTGAGCACGAAACTGAGCAAACTCAGGGAGGCAGTGAAGGACAGGAAGGCCTGGCGCGATATGGTTCATAGGGTCACGAAGAGTCGGACCCGACTTAACAACTGAACAACAACAAAAAAATACTATAATTTCTGTCTGGTTTTAAATGATGCTGTAATGAGGGAAAAAGGTGTCCTTGGGGTTGAACCAGCCCTTCCTCAGAGATACTTCAATTGTGAGGTAATGGTGCTTGGGGGTGAACAGCGACTGGCCAATTAGATCTCCTTGCTGCCACCCCCTTTCCCTAGAAAGTAATTTCTCCCTCCACACCAGCCTTCTGGGGAACCCTCTTGAAGATTACTGAGGGTCTGACTAAAGACAAAAAGGGAAAACAAGAAAAAAACTTTGGGAGTTTGTAGCTCAGCCCAGCTGAAGGCAAATGATCTGGATTGAAACAAAAAATAAATTTTACTAAAGGTACCAAAAAAAATAAGGTTCCACACATACAACACACAGTTTAAATACAAACAACAAAACAAAACAAAACAAAACCCAACCCTAATAACAATTCTAACTAAATTAAATAACTTTCAACTTTGCCTGAGGTAACCCTCTCATCCAGCAGTCCTGCCAACTCTCTCACAAAAGCCGCCCAAAATTCTTCCCCCCAAAACCTGACAGAACCCCTTCGTTTTCTTTCATTGGCCCTCAGGGGTCAGGTGACTCCCTCTGGGCACATCTGGTTGGCTTGTGATTTTAAGCCCAGCTGCGCCCCCTCCACAGATGGTTTTCTAAAACTGTAATTTGTCCGTTTACGTATCTACTTTAAGCAGTCCTGCAGAATGAAAATGCATTTGGAGAGGCAAGATCAAAATCATCCAGCTGAATATATTAAAAATGACCCCTTGTTTTAATATTATTTAATATTAATATTATTTATTTAATATTATTGTGTAGCATTATCCCTGTCTCTTGAAGATTACTGAAGATTAGTTATTGTAAGATACCTACAGTGACCATCTGTCCTTATAATAATAAAGGACAGCCATTTATTTCAGAAAGCTGTTCTTTAGATTTATTTAATTTAATTATTTATTTTCATGGTTTTGCTCTTGAATTTTCCTTTGTAAAGCAAAGGTTATAAACATAAACAATTAATTCTTTTTATCCTTATGAACCTCTTTCAAATTTGCCCCTTTTTCGGGTTTGTCCTGCCTCCTATTTTCGCCACAGCGACAACCCTGTGAGTTGGGTTGGGCTGAGAGAGAGAGAGGTTGCTAGTAAGAATTTCTCGGTATAGTTATTTTATTCCATTGTATCTCCATAATGGTCCTGAGAGACTGGATAAGCTGAGAATGAACCTCAAACTGAATTTTGGAAGAGGAGATTCTACACTGACCACCATAATAAAATATGAGGTCTGCAAATGGACTTCTGCAACTTCTGTGAAGTTACTCCTCCTACCTGAGTTGGAGGTTCAGCCACTCTTTCGATTCCATGCAAAAAACAAGACGATCCTGCAAATATCATTCTGTTTCCTGTAGGAGAGTCAAAAGTGGCAGAACCAGAACTTTTAAAAGAATATTTAATAAAATATGAAAAAATATTGTACACAATGCTATGAAAATAATGAGAATTAGACAGAATCTCATTATTTGGGAAAGTTGAAACTGCTTGTTAGGATCTTCTCTCACCTCCTGATAGTTCTTGATTTTGATCTTCCTTGGAGCTTCTCCTTAAAAACAGCTCTGGTGGGAGATTCAATGAACCCTCCCTTTTCTCAGGATGTTGGGTGACTGCTGCCAAGAGCTGACATAAAAAAAAAAGGAAGAGGAGAATGAAGGAGAAAAGAAGGAGGTGAATACAGGAATGGCTAACAAAAGTGGATTTTGGTTCTATGCCTACATCTTTGCAGCCTTCTATGTCCATCAGTGAGGATGGAAAACAAGAATACAACATTATCTGTTAGTATCCAAAAATGATAAGAGGGAGATATACAAGAATTCAAACATACTGTTGTTTATTATTTTAAATCCCATTTTGAGCTGGCTAGGTGAAGGTCTCTCACCTGCATCTCTCCCTGCTCCTTTTGCTCTTCTGCCTGGCTCAGGAGGAAGCCTTCGGCCAGGGCCACCGCCTGGGAACTGGTCTCCGCTCCACACTCTCGTACCCAACTCTCCATCTCTGGAGGCAGGATGGCCAGGAACTGCTCCAGGATCACCAGGTCCAGCATCTGCGCCTTTGTGTTCCTTTCTGGCTGCAGCCACTGGTGGCAAAGGTGGTGGAGGCGACTGCAAATCTCTCGCGGCCCCTTGGTCTCCTGGAAGTGTACATTTCTGAAGTTCCAGCGCTGGATCTCTGAAGTGATGGTTTCTTCCTCCAAGTTCTTCTGCTCAGTTCTTGCCCGCATTTTCTGAAAACTCTTGGGCTGAGCAGCAGAAGGGCCTTTTCTAGCTTCATCTGCTCTGTACTTTGCCTGCTTTTTCTCTCTGTTCTCTAATCCAGATCCAAATGGGGCCAATGGATCTTCTTGATCTCCAAAGGTCTTCTCATCCATAGGATCTGAACTATGCAAAGAGTCCCTGGAGAACTCTCACCAGGCCATTGGACCCTCTTTGCTCATGAGATATTTTTGTTTTCAGACAAGGAGACAGAAGATGCTTCCAAATTATATACCTCACCTGAAAAAGAAAATAAATCCAGAATTACAGAAACCCTACACCTCCAAGAAAAAGTCAGTACAAAGAAGAGATGTTTCTGGACAGGCTCATGTCTGGGAAGAGGGAAGAGGAATTGCATCAGGCAGTTTTCGGTCTTCGTATCTGGGAGGAAAATCCAGGACCTCCACAATCTTCTTCCACCATGGACTCACAACACTAATTGAATACTGAAAAGAAGATTTTGAATTTCTTTTTCCTCACCCCAATAGAATATCACTTTCTGTGATGGTATGTGGGAATGATCTTGGGAGACAGGAGGAAGACCCACAGCCTAGGCGTCGGTCTGATAAGAGGCAGCTCAGTCCACAGGTGGGGGAAAAGTATGGGAAGCATTTCAGAAGGGACCCTCCCCAGTTTTCTGGAGACTAAAAAGAGAAGAGGGGAGAAATACTTTCAGTCTTGCAAGATTCTGTTTAATGTAACCTTGCAACAAAGATAGTGCTGATGCTCCTGGTTGTGCTTCTTGTCTAGACTACCTCAAAGGGCTAACGCTTTCCTTTTTAGGAAACCAGATCCATGGCTACACTTTCAGATGCAGGATGGGTTCACCCAACATACCAAACCCAAAACGCTTGTTTGAGTTCATATACATGTTTGAGTTCATACAAAATACAACATCCAAGCACATCACTCAGTACACATTATGGCATATGTGCCGTTCTGGTTCATATGGCGCCCTAAGATATGGCTTAGGATTTTGCAATTCTTTTTATTCAGTGAAGAAAACATCAAAATTTGCTATTTAAGAGCCTGGTTCTACAGTCCCACTATTACATGCAGGCAGGGTTCACACCATGCAAGGGCTGAGCTAACTTACGGTAAGTGCAAGGCTTGACTCAATGACTCAGAATACAGCTTCAGATGTGGTCCTGGTTCACACAGCCTCCTAAGACACTGGCTGGGTTCCCACAACACGCTGGTCCAACCCCATTTTAGCTTAATCCAACCCATTGTGTGAATGCAGACACAGAATCCCCTTTGCATCTCCTTTCCTGCAAACTTTTCATATTGTCCACCTTGAGTTTTGCAAAAAAAAAAATGTTCCTCTCCCCCCAACTTGGAGGCTCTCCCAAAAAATATATGGGGATGTGTCTCCCCCATATCACTCCTCCTTTCTGGGGATCCTGGACTTTGATGCTTCTCTTTCCCCCCTGCCTGGACCGTGCACGGAAAGGCGCGGCAGGAGAACATGGGACCTGGGGCACTCTCCCTCCCAGGACTCAGAAGACTTTGCATGTATCTTTTCCCTCCCCAGCACGAGAACCTTTGCTTCCCTTCCCACGAGAAGAACGCCCCACTCACTGAAGAGCGTCACGTCTGGATCTCCGTCCCTGCAAGTCTTTGCAGCAGCCTCTTTGGTTTTGGACGGCTCGAAGGGTTAAAGCGAGCAAGTGCAGAGAGTCCTAGAGAGGCAACACTTTTCGGTGATGTCACTCACTTTCCACCCTCCCAGGATCCAGTACTGTACCGTATTTGCGCATGCCCAGTTCCTGCCTGAAGTTCGGAGACTGCCAGTCCGGCCACCTTTGTAAGGGGAGACCCCTGGTGGAATCTGTGCGCAATGCCAAAGGATCCTGCGAAAAAGAGTGTGGGGGAGAAAGGGTGCATTTTTCTTGCGGGGGGGGCATGGGAGTGGGGGAAAGCAGAATTATGGGTCCTTTTATAGAGTTGCTGGGATCAAGCCTGGGACTTGTTTGCAATGAAACCTCCTTTTTGGTTAAAAAAAAAAAAAGCGTTTGCAAAGAGAGCCCCCCGTGGATCTGGCTTGCAATGCCAGGGGATCTTGCAAAGGGTGGGAGAAAGGGGTGCGTTTTCCATGGGATCCCAGAGACAATAGGGGTGGTAGGAAACTGCCACCCTCTCCCCAGAGGAAGGCAGGCATGGTTGCTGGATGAGCCAAGGCGGAGATGCAGCTGCAGAGCATCTGCAGCCCCGAGAAAGTTGAATCCCCATTTCCAGCAAGGTGTGTCTGGAGTGACTGGTTCAGAAGTCGGCACTCCAGGTTCTTCCTTTGCACATCGAACAAATCCCACTGTATCTATAGGTGGGTGCATTTATATCTACACACCTGTGTTGTTTCATTGTGGTTGTGCTGTGCTGGGGGCCGTCTTATAAGAAACCCATTGGATTCTCCTTAGTCCTTTCACTTTCTTCCTATATCCTTTCACTTTTCATGCTTCTATCCCCTTTTCCATCATGCAAATGCTGTTGCCTTTTGCTGAAATCTACTTGTCGGAAAAAGTGCTACCAGACTCTTGATTTTTGCTCTCAAGATGCAAGAGCTGAAAGAGTTAGCAGACACCAGCAAGATGAATTTCCACAATAACTAATGCAAAGGCCTGCATTTGGGTGGGAAAAATGTCAAAGACATAGATGTCAGATGGGGAAGACCATACATGCCAAATGGATCTGGGTCTCCTGGTGGATATTGAGCTGAACATGAGCCAATGGTGCGATGCAGCTGCAAAAAAAGCTAATACAGTTGTGACCAGCATTGACAGATGTATAGCATGATGAAGTGAGTGGGAGCTCACAAAAGCTTCTGCCTTTTTATAAAATGTGTTTGTTGGAAAAGGTGCTACCAGACTCCTCCTGATTCTTTTCCCCCTCTATTCAAGGAAATAATTATGGTAAACTAAAATAAATAACAAATTAAGTAAATAATAAAAGTACTTCTGAATATTCTTTCCCTTGATGTCCTTCTCCAAGAGAGGATTTTCCTAGATACCATATTAAATATTAAATTATGTTTGCTTTGTTGTTGAATTGCCATCTTGTGATTATTTTGTAATGATTTTTGTACTTCTTTTGGTTAATTTTCTGTATTTTACTGGTTTTTTTGGTGTTATTTTAGTGTGCTGAGCCACCCAGAATTGGTTGGAGTTGGGTGGCATCCAAACTGAATGAATGAAAGAATAATATAAAGAAATATTAATATTAAATTAATGGACAAAATCTGTGTGGTCGCTAAGAGTTGACGTTGGCTTGATGGCACATAATTAACCAATCAATATTAAATATTAATATTAAATAATAAAATAATATTAACATTCAATATTAGTCTTAAATATTAAGAATGTATTTTAAAATTTTAATGAGGAGCAGCTCCTGATCTCAAATGGGGAGCAAGCGTGGCTGTGAGTTGAGAGGTAAAGTGATGGGCTATGAAAATTATGATCCTGAAGAAAGAACACCCCCAACATTGAAAGAAAACATGTTCTGGAATGGGAAAATGACTCAGAATCATCAAGTTAATCCACCCTTAACTTCTCTACTAGCATACTTTTTCTGAGGTAAAACGTCCTCAGAGAGTGAGTCTGGGGAAATGTGGAATTTGTTGCAAGGTGCAAAGACTGAGTATGGGAGCAGGAATGTGGGCTGATGTACTAAACCAACATGAGGAAAAAGATCTTTATGTTGATTACAGTTGCATGATACACTCCACCAAATAGTAGTAATGAAAGAACCAGGAATGAGTTTCGGGGGAAATTGTCCAACATTCTCAACAAATGAGACCCAGAGGGAAAAAATACACCTTCAATTAACTTGAAAGGGTGGGTAGAAGAGGAGAGGGTAGCGAAAAAAAATTAGGCCATTTGGAGACCCAAGAGTGAACCATAGCAGTTAATAAGAATCTGTTTAGAAAAAAAGTCTCTTGTGTATGTGGTTTCAGTCTAAGTATATTCATTACTGTAATAATGTAATTAATGTAATATTCATGACATTAATTCCTCTGCTGTAGAGTTCGTTTTTTCAAAATGTCAAGAGAAGATCTGGGGGAAAATGGACATGAAAGAAAAGGAAATAAAGTGGCCGCAGAATGACTTCAGGAAGAAGTATGGATCCTGTATGAAAGAGTGTTTTCCAAGAGAATTCATAGTACAGTACACGGACATGAGGAAAGAGGACATGGAAACAGCTTGGAACAGAATGAAAAGAATGAGGTTACAGATGTCCCTTAAGTGTGTGGAGTTATGCCAATAGACGTATGAAAAAGGATGCTTTGTAGAATAATACTTTATTTTTAAAAATGTATACGGCCACCCATCTTAAATACATAATGCTGGGTGGTGAACAACCAATTTACAAACAAACAAACATACATACATATAAAAGAATCCCATGATCCAAGTTAAAAATAATGTGAGGCACCGTATAACAATTTCACAGAACAAACATCCTGGCTCCTGGCCCCAGTGTCTGGGAAAAAGCCAGGTCTTAAAGAGCCTTCTGGAAAGTCAAGACGGCCCTCCAAATCTGAAGGCTGTTCCATAGGGCAGGTGTTCTGACAGAGAAGGCACATCTTCTCAGTCCCACAAGATGGCAGTTTAATAGAGGGGACATGGAGCATAGCCATCCTGTCAGATCCGGTGGAACGGGCAGAAACCCTCAGAGACAGACAGTCCTGCAAGTAACCCAGCCCCATGCCATGCAGGACTTTAAAGGTGATAACCAGCACCTTGAACTGCACCCAGAAGCATAGTGGAAGCTCATTCAGCAGTGTGTTGCACGAATTTTGGAGTGCCCAAAGCTGCACACGTTGCTGCATTCTGGACCAGCTGCAGTGTCTGGATGGCCTTCAAGATGCCCAGATGGTGCATCAAGAATTACAAATGAAAAATCACCAGATCCAGGGGACTCCAAAACCCAGAGCCACTCCACTTCAGGCCCTGGATAAGAACCTCAACAGCATCGCTTGTATGGTCATCGCTTGTACAATGCACTCTTTTCTCATGCAGGGGTTGTGCATGAGAAAAAAGGCATATTGAAAAAAGATTGCTTCAAAAAATCAGGATGAGAGAAAGGTATTCCATGACATTGAGAAAAATAGCCACAAAGGACATAGGCAAGAGAGAGCAAGAAATGGTGAAAATTAAAAGGCAGCAAAAATTGGCTTATGTCCTGGTGCCTACAGGATAGCCTTCCTCCTGCTGTTTGTCTGATCTGGCAGAGGTGACGTGCTCCTGGTCACAGCTGGAAAGCAACATCATCCAGTGGGACCTAGAAGATGTGGCATTAATCTCTGTGGCATTAATAGCCAGCATGCCACCTGATGTTTGCATGGCCCCAACCTTCTTGGGCTTCTGTAAAGCTTAGGATGGAGCATGATCTACCCCTGGTAGTGGATTTCTGTCTTACGATTGTGACTGAATTTTGCTTGACCTCTCCCCTCAATAATGTTGCTGAGTATTCCTCTGGATTATCTAGATTGCCTATTTGCTTATTCTTGTTTTTCATCCTAAAGCGTGAGCCACCTAGAGTATTTTTAATGAAGGTCAAATTAAAGAAGGAAAATAAGAAAGGAGAAGAGGGAATTAGCAAATTTAAAAAAGAGACATAAAACACATCCGTGGAAGAAACTGCAGTTGATAAACTTTCTTTATAGCTAAGAACATACAAACAAGCAAATGTATATTCAAGAGTCAGAAAAAAGCAACAAAAATCTTTAAGAGTCTGGAAAGAACTGCAGCATGTAGCAGCAAAAAATAAGTACAAAATTAATTATTTTCCTTCAACAGGAGTTTGGAGAAGATAGTTTTCAGCTTCCATCTAATTTTTAAATGATTTCTGAGCATCATTGGATATTTTCAGAACAAAAGGGGCTGGAAACTTGAAAGTAGCTTCTCACCATCAATATTTCTCATATTATTAAACCACTTTCTATATTTTTGAACTTCTTTAGGAAAATCAGTGGAAAACATGAGAATCCAACTGAATAAAAGATAAAAATATTATACATATATTTAAATAGACAAAATACAGTCTGGCTTGCATATTTTGATACAACCCATATAAAACAAAAAATTCAAGCCAACGGAGAAGTAGAAACCATTAAGAGTTAAGGGAGGCCAGGCATCCATGCACACCTTAGATAAGCTTGGGATGTGAGTCTTCAACATGAAAACTGACTACTTAGCCTGTGTCTCCTTCACCACAAGGGGCCAAAGAAAAATAGACTTTTACAGATCCCTAAATCCAAATGCCCCCCAAAGAACAGAGAAAAATTATATAAATAATTACAAACAAGACACCATATTCTTTAACCAGGGCGGAGGACAAGAGGCTCCCCAGATAAATAGCTGGACTTTTAGTGGGAAGGAGAAACATGCCAACCAGGCTGATACAGCTGAATCAGTTTGAGCTACAACAGGGTCACCGGGATGATTGGGCAGGTCAAGTGGAGGCAAGGAAACAGTCATGCTCATTGGAAAGTGGATCATAAATCAGGTCTCAAGGGCTGGGAGTTTTTAATTAAATTTGAGTTCCAGAAGAATTGAGGCAGGACACCAACATCATAGTACCCATGTTCTGCATAATGGTTCCATAGTACTACAATTCCCATTCACTTTTATAACTTCCAATAAAGCTTGGACAGTCCCAGTGTAGTCCTCTTTTCATACCTCCAGGTACTTTTCCACCTCATTCATTTCACATGGAAGATCTCTTGCTCTCAGAACCATCTTCTGCCATGTCTTTTTAGAAATTTTCATTCTGGCATAGTCCCATGGTTGCGTAAGCTGAAATCCTGCAGAAAAACTCTTCCACCTTTACAGCTTGCCTTGAATGGATCTGATGGACTCTATCTTTGATAGATGTCCACTGATATCTTCACAGAAATTCATGGCATAAGAGGCACAGTGAAATACACAATAAAACTATTAACTTCTGTTTCTCATTCCTTTCTGATCTTGTTTGGACAGAAGAGACTTCTGGATTGTAGTGCAATAAAAATGGAGGATTTCTCCTTCACATTCCTGGAGCAGCTGTCCTCATTTTATTTTATTTTGGCTTCCGTTGATTTCCAGGTATCTCTTTCCTGAATTCATGATTGATTGTTTGCCATCTCAGCACACTCAACTCCTTATAATTCTCATTCTCATGTGCAACCCTTCCTTGGGCACAAAAGAAAGAAAGAAGCTCATCAGATATTTAAGGCACATACCCTCTTTTAATTCAACATCACCCATTCCTCTTAATACAATTGGATGAAATCTGGGATACTTATGGAATAAATGTTCTTGTACAAAAACCTATCTCTGCTTGAGCCATTTCCTACTTTTTATGAGGACAGATTAGGGGGTTTTTTTGCCCCACATGTAATACAAGGGTAGCTGTATTAAGATTAAAAATAAGGTGTGAAGCTGGAAAGGCAGAACTGTAACAAGGCAAGGCAAAGGAAGGGAAGATCAAAGGATTGTGGAAGAACAGTTGTTACAGTGGAAGAAATGTTGACAGAGCTCCTACTTATAGAAACACATCAGGGATGCTTTCATTAAATGAAGCTCCTTCTAAAGACTGGGGATGCTGCAACTTCTGCCCGCAACATCCCTATCGAAGCCAACGTCAAGTGGAAACATCAAGCAAACTGAGGAGCAAGAAGCTCCCTTGTGAAGATACAATAATATATTAGATTGAATTATATGTTCATACTGGGAAACGTGGAAGGAAAGAGGACAACCAGCAGCAAGGTGGATAGACTCAGTTACACTAGCGATGAGTGCACCATTGGAAGAGTTGAAGGACCAGGTCAGTGACAGATCGTCATGGAGAAAATCTATCTATGTGGTCACTAACAATCAACATCTAATCAGTCAATCAATCAATCAATCAAAACTGGTACGGCACATTGTGAGACACATCAAACGGTGACTCCGTTGGATTTTGAAGCACAAGTAGAAATGACAAGCATTTAAAATTGAACACTAAAACAAAATAGTTTTCTAGTCTTCACCTGCAACTGTATCAATATCATAAATGATCCCAACCAACTCATCCCAAAAAGGCAGCACAACCTGTTTGTAATAATCTTTCCCTAAGTCAATTAATTCTCTCTGTGGCTGTTTCAATCAAGCTTTAGTAAAGGTCAGGGACAAAATTTAGGATTCAAAGCAAGCATCTTTTCTACTTCAGAACAGGAAGAGGGTATGCATGGACTGAAACCAATTTAATCTACTACTTAGAGGTTCTCACCAGAGTGGCTCCTTTTATGGGAAAGCAGGTCACTCTTCCTCCTGAAGCTCTTTCCACATTCCATGCATTCAAAAGGCTTTTCCCCTGTGTGGATCATCTTATGATAACTTAGCTGACTGCTTCGAATAAAGCTCTTTCCACACTCCATGCATTTAAAAGGTTTCTCCCCTGTGTGGATCCTTTCATGGCAAGTGAGTGAATTGCTCTGACTGAAGCACTTTCCACATTCCATGCATTTATATGGTTTCTCTCCTGTGTGGATCCTTTTATGGCATGTGAGTTGACTATGCTCAGAAAAGCTTTTCCCACATTCTATGCATTGATATGGTTTCTCTCCTGTATGAATCCTTTTATGGGAAATAAGGTGACTGCTATGAGTAAAACTCTTTCCACACTCTACACATTTATACGGTTTCTCCCCTGTGTGTATCCTTTTATGGCAAGTAAGTTCGCTGTTCCTGCTGAAGCTCTTTCCACACTCCACACATTGATAGGGCTTTTCCCCAGTGTGAATTCTTATATGGAAATTAAGTTGACTTTTTTGAGTAAAGCTCTTTCCACACTCAGTACATTTATAGGGTTTCACCCCTGTATGGATTCTGTTATGTTTACTAAGTTGGCTGTTATGAGTAAAGCTCTTTCCACATTCCTTGCAGGTATATGGCTTCTCCCCTGTGTGGATTCTTTCATGGGACGTAAGTTGACTCTTCCATATAAAGTTCTTCCCGCACTCCATGCATTTATATAATTTCTCTCCTGTGTGGATCCTTTTATGAATAGTAAGGGACCTATTTTCATAGAAGCTCTTCCCACATTCCCTGCATTCATAAGGCTTCTCCCCTGTGTGGATCCTTTCATGGGAAATAAGTTGACTCTTCCATATAAAGCTCTTTCCACACTCTATACATTTAAAGGGTTTCTCCCGTGTATGGATTGTTTCATGAATAATAAGGGACCTATTTTCATGGAAATTCTTTCCACATTCCCTACATTTATATGGCTTCTCCCCCGTGTGGATTCTTTTATGGGAAGAAAGGTGGCTCTTCCATGTAAAACTCTTCCCACACTCCATGCACTTGTAAGGTTTCTCCACTCTGTGGATCCCTCTGTGAGAAGTAAGTAGACTTTTCTGAAAATAGCTTTTTCCGCATTCCATGCATTTGTATGGTTTCTCTCCTGTGTGGATTCTTTTATGGCAAGTAAGGTAACTCTTGTCAGTAAAGCTTTTTCCACACTCCATACATTTATAGGGTTTCTCTCCTGTGTGGACTCTCTTGTGGGAAGTAAGGTGACAGTTCTGAGTGAAGCTCTTTCCACACTCCATGCATTGATAGGGTTTTTCCCCTGTGTGAATTCTTGTATGGGAAGTGAGTTGAATATTCCGAGTAAAGCTCTTTCCACACTCCATGCATTTATATGGTTTCTCCCCTGTATGGGTCCTTCTATGATATGTAAGTTGACTGATCTGAGTAAAGCTCTTTTCACACTCCATACATTTATATGGTTTCTCCCCCGTATGGATCCTCTTATGGTAAGTAAGTTGACTATTCTGAGTAAAGCTTTTTCCACATTCTGTGCATTTATATGGCTTCTCACCAGTGTGAATCCTTTTATGGGAAGTAAGGTGACTGTTCCACGTAAAGCTCTTTCCACATTCCCTACAGTTATATGGCTTCTCCCCTGCATGGATTTTTGTATGACAGGTTAGTGAACTGTTCTTGCTGAAGCTTTTTCCACATTCTCTGCATTTATATGGTTTCTCTTCCATCTTGACCTTCTCACATAAAGAAATATTTAAAGTCGGAGTCTTATTTCTTTCATTCTCCCTACACTGATAGCGTTTACCTTTACCATGAGTTGTATAATGTTTATTTAAATCTAACTTGTCTTTGAATATTTTCATACTTTTCTGTAAGCACTTGCTCGGTGTTTTTCCTTTGTGATCTTGTTGGGCAAAAAACTTCTGAGCAGATTGTGAAGTTGAGCTCTTCTTACTCCCACTTTTTGATTGTTTTTTCTCACACTTGCTTCCTTGAAGGAAAAAGAAAGAATGAAAAGCTAGGGAAAGGAAATGAAGATCAAATTCTAGCAAGTAATTATGAACTACCTGCTGAATTTTTGCCAAATACTCTCTAATATTTTAAAAGTCTGACCAACACTAAATAATCCGATCTGAGGCTTACCAAATTTGGACTTGTGATGTGGGTTGCTACTTAAGTTCACATGTGTAAAACTGTAAGATATGGAAATGGATTGTTTTTATTTAATAAGCAGTAGAAACTTTTAAAAAATCATTTTTTAAAAAGAATCACACATCACACTAGTGTACTGTTACAACTTTTCTCTCCATAAATTAATTCTCCACATTCATACTGAATTTCAGTAGGAAACAGGTTCACGGGAATGAGGAATCAAGAGCAAAGAAGCTAACAAAAATATATTCTTGGAGTGACCAGTGGAAAAATTGGAGTAGAGAACAGAGCCAACTAAATATAATTTTCTACTCCTTCTTTCCTACTTATCCTACTATCAGCATTTACTATGCGCTCTTCTCTTGCCACAAGCAAATAGTTGCAAAGGGGGAAAAAAACTATACTAGTTTTTCTATTAATTCAGAAACATATGAGAGCCAGTGTTGATTGCAGTGGGAAATAAAGCCATATGTTTTCAGGGAGAAAAACGATGGCATTTCTCTCAGAATCTCAAAGCTCATGGTTATAGAAGAAAAGTGTGAAAGAGAAGGGATGGAAGGACATTAACCAAATAGCTAGTCTGAGAAAATGCCAATAGAGCACAAGCCAGATAGGATGCCCTGATATAACTCATGCCTTGATTACCACTCAGATGGGCTGCCTTTGGCGACAATCTGGAAGTTGCAGCTGGTACAAAATGCAGCCAGTGGTTCTGCGTGCAAACATGCTATTGCAGAATAAATGTTACAATTCCTGCACTGGCTGCCAGTAAGCTTCTAGGCGCAATTCAGAATGCTAGTTATTACTTGTATCTATTCTACAGTTGTACCCAAAATATATAAATTGCTATTCTATTCACATGCATTTTTAAAATCTTAAACTTACACTCTTAACGGTAGTGGTACTACAATGTTATAGTTTGTTACTGATTTAAAGTTTAGTCATGTTTATACTATATAGGTTAGACTATTACCACAGTGGGACTGCTGTGATTTTATTCTTGAATGTTATGCCGGTTGCTGATTGAAATAAAGAGACTTTATTACTAGTAAAGCCCTACACAGTGTAGCACCAGGATGTATCAGGAACCATGGTGTCACAGTTGGCTTTGCCCACTTGTCTGAACATCTGGAGGGGTGGTGCTGAGCATCCTGCCCCCTTGGGATGTGGAAAAGGCAGCAGACCTTTTCAGTAATAGCTCCTACACTCTGGAGCACACTTCCCCCGGTGTTATGTATGACCCTGTCCCACCTGGCATTCCATAAGGCTGCTTTGTCCTAGTGTGACCCGACTTTGATCTTGAATGATGATAGTGGATGACCATTTTGCTAGCTACTATATTGTTGTCGGTCAGTTGGTTGGTCAGTCGGTCGGCCTGCCTACCTACCTACCTACCAACCTACCTACCTCATATATCTATCATCATATTTATATAGCTGCTCATCTCACATAAAAGCGATTCTGGGTGATGTACAGCACTTAATTAAAAACAATAAATACGTAAAAACAATCACAATGGAAATTATAAAAAGGACACAAAACAAGACAGGATGATATTAACCACAATAAGGGAGCCATCACAAAATTTCCCTGGTTCCCTGGGACCCCAGGCCTGATCAGACAGCCAGGTCCTGAGGGACTTGTGGAATGTTGAGAGGGATGGAGCTAATCTCACTTCGGGGGGGGGGACAAGATTCCACAAGGTGGATGCCACAGCAGAGAAGGGCTGCCTCCTGGGACCCGCCAAATGTAATTCCCTGGCAGAAAGGACCTGTAGCATGCCTTTTTCGCCAGACTTGATGGGGCAGGCAGATGTAATCGGGGAGAGGCGGTCCCTCAGGTAACCCAGCCCTATGCCATGAAGAGCTTTAAAGGTCAAAACCAGCATCTTGAATTGGACCTGGAAGCAAACTGGCAACCAATGCAGAGGTGTAATGTGTACTGCTCTAGAGGCACACATAACTGCCCGCACTGCTGACTTTTGCACCAGCTGAAGCTTCTGGATACTCTTCAAGGGCAGCCCCATGTAGAGCGCATTACAGAAATCCAAACAGGAGGTGACTAGGGCATGAGTGACAGAGAGCAGAGCCTGATTTAGGAACAGGTGCAACTGGCACACAACACGAAGCTGTGCAAAGGCCCTCCTAACCACAACTGCCACCTGCTCTTTGAGCAGGAGTTGTGAGTCCAGAAGGGCCCCCATATTGCGCACGGGGTCTTTCTGGGGGAGTGCCACCCCATCCAGCACCAAAGATGACATAGTCCTAGAACCAGAAGGCCCCAGAACCCACAGCCACTCAGTCTTGCCAGGGTTCAGCTGAAGCCTGTTGTTCCCCATCCAGATCCTCACAGCCTCCAGACACCAGGATAAGACACTCACAGTATCACTTAATTTGCCAGGGGCAGAGATGTATCACTGACTATCATCAGTGTACTGATGATGTCTCACCCCACGGTGATGGATGAACTCATCCAGTGGCTTCATGTAGATGTTAAATAGGAGGAGAGAGAGTACAAAACCCTGTGGCACCCCACATAATAGGGGCTGAGGGTGGGATCTCTCCTCCCCAACCCCCACTGACTGGAATCAGCCCTGGAGGAAGGAGGTGAACCAGCACAACACTATGCTACCCACCCCCAATCCTCTGAGCCAATCCAGAAGGATACCATGGTTGATGGTATTGAAAGCCACAGAGAGGTCAAGTAGGGCAAGGATGGATGTACAACCCTCATCCCGCCCTTGCCAGAGATCATCCAAAAGTGTAACCAATGCTGTTTCTGACCCATACCCAGGCCTGATTACTGACTGAAAGGGATCCAGATAATTCGCTTCATCCAAGGTCCTCTGGAGCTGCTGCGCAATCACCTCAATCACCTTCCCCAAAAAGGGGAGGTTTGATACTGGACGAAAATTGTCCAGTATAGTGGGGTCCAGCGATAGCTTCTTGAGGAGGGGGTGAACCAAAACCTTCTTAAGAGGAGAAAGAACAACCCCTCACTCAAGGAACCATTAATCATTGCTAGAACTCACTCACACGACACCCCCCGGGCCACTTTAACCAGCCAGGAGGGACATGGATCTAAAGAGCAGCTCACAGTCCTAAGGGCCCTGTCCACTTCCTCAGGTCAAACAGCTTCAAACCATTCCCAGAGAACAGGGCAAGACTTCTCCCTAGGCATCTCCACTGGACCTGCAACAAAGCCAGCGCCAACTGAGAATGAATCCGAGCGATCTTATCTGGCAGATGCTGGGAAAATTCCTCCGCACGCCCCTGCAGAAGTTTGTTTGAGGACCCAGGAGGGCTCATGTCACGCAAAACAGGGCCACAGGGTGGCTATCTGAGGATGCAATAAGAGTGGAGGAGTAATGACACTTTGCTGCCCTTATCACCATGAGGTAGGCCTTAATAGCAGCTCTAACTCGTGTACGGTCAAGTTTGTTCCTTGACTAACACCAGTGATGATCTAGATGTCTCTTCTCTCGCTTCCTCTCCCACAGCAATTCCGTGAACCATGGAGAATGCCGGGATCCCTGAGAGGAGAGATTGCATCAGTGCAATCTGATCCAAAGCCTCAGTCATCCCCTTATTCCAAGCAGTGACCAAGGCTTTGGATGGACCGTACAGCAGGACTGCAACCCCCAGTTCCCTCTGGAACCCATCTGGGTCCATTAGTCGCTGGGGGCAGACCAATCTAATGGGTCCAGCCTCCCTGCAGTGGATAGCGGCGCTAGAGAATCCCATCATAATCTGACCATGACAGGGGGGACACCAAAATTTCAGATCACATAGCCACTGCTCTGACAGGAACACCAGATCTGGTGTATGGCCACTGTCTCGTGTCGAGCTCTGGATGATTTGGGATAGGCCCATGGTCATTATGGTGGCCATGAACTCCTGAGCCACCTCTGACCCCATCCTCAGAGAAGGCAGATTGAAGTCCCCCAAGTCCATAAGTCTGGGGAACTCCACTGCCAACCCAGAAATGGCGTCAAGGAGCTTAGGCAGGGGACTTGCTGTGCAGCAGGGAGGCTGGTACAATAGCAGCAAACCCAACTGATCCCTACAGACCAGCTTAATGAACGGGGTCTCACATCTGGTGACCTGTGGTACAGCACCCCAACAATCACCACACCTCCATCCCTGCCCCAGGATCTCGGCTGATGCCACACTTGAAACCTGGCTGGGCATAACTCCAAGAGGGCTACCCCCCCCTCTCCAGATCCAGCCAGGTTTCAGTGATATGATGCCAGGTCAGCCCTCTCACCAGTAATTAAATCACTGATGAAAGAGGCCTTATTACAGACTGACCTGGCATTCAGAAGCAGCAGCCAGAAGTCAGAGCCTCTGAAGGTCTGCTGACAGGGTGCTGGGGCTGAGACTGAGGAGATGGAACATGAGATCGGTAACAATGTTTTGTTATAGGTCAGACTAATCTCAATGTCATCTATAGTCAGTAGATTAGTCTGTCTTGCTGAGAAGCTATATTGACTTCTTCCTTTTCTTGGAGCAGAAGAAGACTGGATCTCCTCTCCTCCCAGCCAAGACATGTCTGAAACAGCTGGTTACATCTGACTATAGTATGTCTTCTTGAAGGTTAGACTAGAGAATGGGAAACACTTACCCAGAGAAGCTACAATCCTAGAGTTCTCTAGCATGACTTCCCTATGGAGAGCTTTTTGGTTGATATTCAGCTGCGACCACTCCTCTTCAGAGAAATACACAGCCACGTCCTCAAAGGATACAAGACCCTGAAAAGGGAAATAAACTTTCTTTGTTAACAGGGAGGCCCAAGAAGGATTTGCAAATTCTCTCCATTAGTTCACCAATCCCAAAATGCAGGGACTTCTAATGGGTTAAATGGGCATCTACTACAGAATTCAAAAACTGATGTAAGAAAATGGGCAGGGCTTATTGATGCTGATGGATATAACATTTGGGATCAGTGTTATTAACTTAACTGATTCTGCAGGACTGAAGTGCCATTTAATGAAACCAGCTACAGGTTTTTTTCTGGATCAGCTGGTTTTGTGACACTGGCCTGCAATATCCCCTGAAGGATCAATCCTGCCCACACTCAACACCTTTATGAAAGTGCTGGGACAACTCATCCAGGGGTTTGTGAGGATGCCCTCAAGATGCAGAAGACACATACTCCAATTCTGTTTCTCCTCAAATTCCAGGGAACCTGTTCATGGTTGGAATTATTGACTGGATGGGAGCTAATAAAAGCTACAGATCAGATGGTTGGAAATTATTGTACAAGCTCTTAAGTGGCTTCATTAGAAGTTCATTGGACACAGTTTTTATGTAGACGTGCTTCTGTCTGATCATTTGCATTAGAACTTTATAACCTTTTATTGTGCTCAGAAAATCTGACGTTTTAAGTGGCAAACTCAATTTTACCCTCTGTTGAGTATAGTTTTCTTTAAACTGTCTTTATACTTTTTAAAAAGTATAATTTGCTAGTTTAAGTATTTAACTAGTTTGAAGCAGTCCTATAGAATGGAAGAATAAATCTGGAAGAATAAATTTGAAGTCTTCCAAGTGAATACATAGAAGGATATTTTGACTGTGAGAACTAAAATGTTGGGAGAAGTAGATGGTAATGATCAAAATTTGACCTTAGAGAAGAATGTGTACGTGTACAGGAGCAAGCAAGCTGAGGAGATAAGGAGATCAACTTTGAAATCATCCAAGGCCTGGATGCCAACAACCAAAAACAAGGAGGCTGACTGCCAAGCAGTGAGCCATGTTTGACTCAACAACCTAATGGTCAATGAAAGGACAGCTGAAGTGATGCATGATGGAATGTCGCTTGCAAAGGATACTGTCATAACATCTGCTGATGGCTTTCCCCAACCGTCATGCATCGCCTGGTCAGTTTTGTAGCAGAGCTAGTGAGAATGAGTGCATGAGCGTCTGCAGTGCTTAAGCAATTTTAATTAATAAAGCTTTTGTAGGTCAACAGAGACTTTCCATGTGCTGTGTTTCCTTGAGCATTTCTCTGCTGTGTAAGATTCTGAGTTCATGTATCTATGTTGAAAGGGTAGGAGTGTATCCACTAACAGATTCCTCCTCTCCCAAAAGACTATGCACCACAAAGCCCCAGGCCCACCTATCTAGCCTTTGGATTAAGTAGAACATAAGGGAGGCAAAAGGTTATACATCCCTCTTCAGGGTGTCTGAAAGTAGAAGGGAATGAATGAACTATAAGTGAAGAGAACAGTGTAAAAGCTATGTGTGTACTAATTTTATTTCTGTCCCTTATTTTTTTTAATAATTTACTATACATTGAATTTTAAATAAAATGTAATTTTTAATTTTTTTAAAAAAATTAGTTATTGTAAACCAATACACACAAAAGAAACAAACAGTACTGAACTTTTGGAAAAAAAATAGATTCCTTAATAAGAATCTCACAGTACAGTTATTTAATTTCCACAATAGTTTGAGTAGTGGGCTAAGTCACATGTAATTCTATTTATTTTCTATTTAGTTGAGATCATTGTATGTTGTAATTTTAATTGATTTTAACTGTTTTGTAAACCGCCCAGAATCGTTCCAATGAGATGGGCGGTGACAAACTTGATAGATAGATAGATAGATAGATAGATAGATAGATAGATAGATAGATAACACTGGATCCCACCCAAAAAAAAAAAAAAAGGAGTCCTTGTAATGATCTACTCAACTTCTCTGAAGTTTCTCTCCTACCTGAACTGATGGTTCAGCGGCTGTTTTAGCTCCATTAGAAAAAGGAGAGGATCCTACAAAGATCAGTGGCATTGTTCTGTTCCCTAAGGAGATAGAAGTGGAAACTTTTATGGAGTTTTTGAAAGCATATTTAATAACATATAGGGAGATATTATACACAAGAGGACCCCAGCACGAGAGAGAGCTGGAGTCTGTGAGGAACTTCACACTGCTTGGAAACACCTTCCCTCACCTCCTGATGTTTCCTGACTTTGATCTTCTTTGGAAAATCCTCTGAAAAGCAGCTCTTGTGAGAGATCTGATGAATCTCTCCTTTTTCTGGAATGTTCGGTGACCATCGCCGGGCCCTGAAATATAAAAAGAAAAGAGAAGAAGAGCTAAGGAGAAAAGAAGGAGGAGAATTAAGGGAGTAGCCCACAAGAAGAGGATTCTTGTTCTCTGCCCACATCTTTGTAGCCATCTTTGTAGCAAGTCCATCTACCTCTGGAAGGAGCAATGGAACAAACTGCCTAAAAAGTTAAACTGTTCATATTACTAATGCCAGAAGACTCTGGGAGAGAAGCATTCAGGAATTTAAACATATTGTTTGCTATATAAGGACCACTTTCAAGATTGCAAGATGAGGTCCTCTCACCTGCAGCTGTTCTTGCTTCTTCTGCTCTGCCTGGCTCAGGAGGAAGCCTTCGGCCAGGGCCACTGCCTGGGAACTGGTCTCCGCTCCACACTCCCGGACCCAGCTCTCCATCTCTGGAGGCAGGACGGCCATGAACTGCTCCAGGAGCACCAGGTCCAGCATCTGAGCCTTTGTGTGTCTTTCTGGCTTCAGCCACTGACAGCAAAGGTGGTGGAGGCAGCTGCAAATCTCCCGTGGTCCCTTCTCCTGGAAGTGGACATTTCTGAAGCTCCTGTGCTGGACCTCTGAATTGATGACTTCCTCCTCCAGGATCTTCTGCCCAGTTCTTGCCCAGATTTCTCCTCTGCTCCTTTCCCTGGCTTTCTTACCTGCGTCCATTGTTTATCTGTTCTCTAACCAAATGGGGCCAGTGGAACTCCTGGATCTCCAAAGCTCCCTTCATTCATAGGACCTGGTAGCAGAAAGAGACCCTGGACAAGTTTCACCAGAGGAGGTTTTTGTGGTTGACACTTTTTGGGGAGAGGAATCCCTCTAAGCAGATCTGGGATGAGCTTCCATCAAGGACTAAAAATATGAAATAAAAACATTCAGGAGGTTTCTATTTCTTTTTCCTCACACTCAACAGAACAACCTTGTTTGTTTTTTAAAAGGCTAGAGCTACAGTTATACTCTCACACAGGCAGGGTTCATACAACATGCCCAACCCAAAGCATGGGTCAAAAAAGCACCATGGGTACGTTCTCATAAATGCAACATTCAAGTGAACAGGACACATTGAGGCTTAACAGGCTGTCTTGATTCACACAGCTTCCTAAGCCTCTGGCTGGGTTCCAACATGATGAAAAGCAGGTGACCCAACCCCATCCATGCAATCTCTATTTTGCATCTCCATTCCTGAAAAATCTCTATTTGCCCCCTGAGTTTTGCAATGCCATCCCCCCTGTCTCCCCCCATTCAGAGGCTTTCCCAGGAAATGGGGGGTGAAGGGCTCCCCCAGATTTCCTGCTTCCTGGGGATCCTGGGCTTTTTCCTGGGGGCAACACGGCTGGTCTGGAGCTCTGCTTTCCCCCCTGCCTGCCATATGCACGGACAGGGGCGGCAGAGGAACATGGGATCGGGGGACTCACTGAACCTGAATGACAACTTTTGCACGTCTGCTTTTCTTCTCCAACATGAGGCCCCTTTGCTCCCCTCCCCACGAGGATTCCCCACTCACTTGCGCAGAGTCAGGTCTGGATGTCACTCCCCGTGAGACTTTTTCTGAGCCTCTTCGCCTTCTGAGAAGCGCAAAGGGTTAAAGGGAGGAAGTGCAGAGTCCTAGAGAAACAGGGCAGTTGGTGACGTCACTCACTTTCTGCCAGCCTAACAGAAATAGCAAAGTGACCAGGCGCATGCGCAGCTGCCTTCTGAAGCTTGCTGCCCATCTGACACGTTTCTGGAGCAGAGGTTCTCAAGCTTGGCAACATTAAAATGCATCGGCTTCAGCTCCCAGAGGTCGGCTCGGGAATTCTGGGAGTTGAAGTCCGCACATCTTAATGTGGCCAAGCTTGAGAAACACCGTTCTTAAGGGACCCGCCCCCCCGGATGATCCTGCGTGCAACTGTGCAATTCCCTTCCACGAGGGGTGGAAGAAAGGGGCCCTTTGTCAAAGGCAAGAGGGAGGGCAGAGCCCCTTGGGGGGAAAAGGAGAGCGGGGGACCCTCTAACTGGAGCTGCTGGGAGCCGGCCTCGGACCCGCAGGCAAAGTGATGAGCCAAACCAGCTCTCCCCCTTTCCCCACACTCCTGGGACCCACCGCCTTGCAGAAACAGCCCCTCCTCCCCCGTCAGGGAGTCTCCCAAATTGGCCTTTCTTTGCTCCGGATTTTTTTTTCTTTGCATGGCCAGCGTGGCTCTGATCCGTGTTGCAGGAGAGATTTCTCTCCCCCAGAAGATGCATACAAAAATGCCGCAAGGGTTGCACGAAGCAAGGGCGGCTGGGCAGGGCGCCCCCCAGACAGGAGTTGCGATCTTCAAGCAATACCTGTCTCGGGACTAAGCATTTTTGGTGGTCACCACTTCCAGCCTCTCCTGCAAGGGCTTCCTGTAAAAAAGCGAGAGAGGGCACTGATTGCAAGAGGGAAGACTTTGGCCGCGGCGCTCACTACCTGCCCTACTTGCGAGGCATTCTCCAGGAGCTTTGTCCAGACAGAAGCACGTGTGGGGCAAAGGCCTCCTGCGCATGCTCAGCTCTCCAACGACGGAGCCCCCTAGTGTTCCCTGCCTGCAATTGAAAGGGCAGGGAGGAAGATGCATTGTTTAGAGCAGGGTCCCTCAACCTTGGCGACTTGAAGATGTGTGGACTTCAACGCCCAGAATTCTCCAGCC